TATTTGGTAGGCGTGGGTAAATAATTCCTTTATTACAATTATTGTATTTCTGGATATTAACCATCATCCTGCTTGTATTTAAAACAACACACAGCGTTTCGGAGGCTGGATTCTGTCACCGTCTTCATCTTCATCCTTTCTCCGAAACAAACAGGACGATGGATAATATACAGCAATACAATAATTGTATTAATATATGTACTGATTCCTTTCCTCAAAATCCAGGGAGGGGAGGCAGATGTCTGCGTTGCCCCTCCCTCCGCCCCCAGGTTCCGAAAAAAACTGGTGAATATCAAACCCCAGGAGCCAGAATTGTTGGGATGTGAATGAAATTTTGCAGACAGCGTGTCTGAAACCACGATATTGGCTTTGCGGTTGTTCAACTGGAGCAGATGTCCACTTTTCTCATAGGAGAACATCCGTAGCCGCCGAATTGCCCTAAATAAGTACTTTGCACTTTCATGTACCTTGGTGAGAAAGCCTGGGAAAGATTGTCACAGGGTTGCAGCGATGAGCTGGGGTGTAGAAAAAACTTTGTTATCCAGTGAATGACATTTGTTATTGTTTAGTGGTTAGTTTTGGAAGACGTTCAAGACCTGTAAAACTTGGGCCCTTACCTTTCGGTCTCTCTGTTCTTACAGAAATGAAAAGCAGATACTGTCATGCATTGAGGTTCAGTCTGTCCCTCATGCAAAGACGCGTCACAATTTTTTGTGTTCAAGAGGTCGCAACAGTTACCTTTGGCCTGTTCGCACACAAAGTTGGTACAACTGAAAAGTTTTGTGGTTGCCTACTGCCCACCTGACTATTCTGTGTGAGAAGTATTGTGGACACAATCAGATTGCAGGTGAAACCACGAGACCTAGCTGCCCTTAAGGGCTCCCGCATGTTTACAGCAACGGTTTCAGTACTATGTGGCGTAACTTTCCCTCCTTCGCATTTCTTAAAAAATCGAAAAAAGTGGCAGCGTGTATCAAAATTAGTTACCGTAAACCGGGGTCATTTTCTGACACTTAACTGTCCCGTTTAATTTTACATCTTACACCATAACAGTTCGCAGCTCTGTCACAAAGTCACACCAGTTTATGGGCCATTGTACGAATATGAGGCGTAAGTTGGACATCGCCCGTTTTCTGAGGTGTAGTACACACACATATGACGTTTAGGGAGTTTACTCCAGTCTTCAGACGATCGGTTATCATCATAATAAGCGTGACATCTCTGCAGCTCACCCTGCTTGCTCTGGCACTCAGTTCTGGGCCCACATGTTATCGAATGTTGCGTCAAGGCGGACGTTTAACGCTGTCTCCTACTATTAAAAAAAGGTGAAGTTGTCTCTGTGCTTAACTAATTAAGCCGTATGGGGAGCGGATGTGTAGATCCACATTTTCGTGACCTCGGCACTAGCTGGAGGTGAAAGGTCAGCTTCACGTCCCGGCCGCTTTACCCCCGGGGAAAGAGCCCCTTGTACCCATTAGGTATATAGGAGGTTGGGTGGACCCCAGAGCCGGTCTGGAAGACTTGGAGAAGAGAAAATTCTTGACGCTGCCGGGACTCGAACTCCAACCCCTCGATCGTCCAGCCCGTACCCAATCGCCACACTGACTACGCTATCCCGGCTCCTTCTTCCACTATTTTTTTTCCCTTGGCACTACAGCCCCAGTGGGCCTAGGCCTACCTCGATTAACTTCTCCGTTCATTTCGGTTTTTCTAGATCTTACACATTCGGGAGGACTCCTTGGGCGTGTGACTAGCTCGTCACAAGGCCTCTACCTGTAGACAAACAGAAAAACGCACACACACACAAATTGAACATCCATGCCCTGAGTGGGATTCCAACCCACGATCCCGGTTTCTAAGCGAGCGAAGACAGTACATGCCTTAGACCGCTCGGCTACCGTGACCGGCTCTTCCACTATTAACACGCACAAATAATCAATCGTAATCGTAATGACTTTAGAACATGCCATTAAGAAAGTCCAGGGAACCAGGTGGGACTGAAGTTAAACCGGACACATCAGCTGTTGGTCTATGCTGATGATGTCAATCTGCTGGGTGATAATGTAGATACCATAAGGAAAACATAGGAACTTCAATTGATGCTAGTAAGGAGGTTGGTCTAGAAGTAAACACAGAGAAAACTAAGTATATGTTGCTGTCTCGTCACCAAAATGCAAGGCAAAATCATGACATGAAGATAGGTAACAGATGTTTTGAAAATGTGGCACAGTTCAGATATTTGGGAACAACGATAACAGATCGAAACCTGATTCAGGAGGAAATTAAGAGGAGATTGAACTCGGGTAATGCTTGCTATCATTCAATCCAGAACCTTTTGTCTTCTCGTCTGCTGTCCAAAAACATAGAAATTAGAATATACAAAACTATAATTTTGCCTGTTCTGTATGGGTGTGAAACTGGGTCTCTGACATTAAGGGAAGAACATAGACTGAGGGTGTTTGAGAACAGGGTGTTGAGGAGAATATTTGGATCGAAGAGAGATGAAGTGACGGGAGGTTGGAGAAAACTGCATAATGAGGAGCTTCATAACTTGTTCTCTTCTCCAAGTATAATTAGAATGATTACGTCAAGGAGGATGAGGTGGGCATGGCATGTAGCATGAATGAGAAAGACTAGGAATGCATGTAGGATATTGGTGGGAAAGCCAGAAGAGACCAGTAGGATGATCAACACGTACGTGTGTGGATATTATTAAACTGGAGGTTAGAGAGATGGGATGGGATGGTATGGACTGGATCGATCTGGCTCAGGATAGGGACCAGTGGGGGGGGCTCTTGTGAGCACAGTAATGAACCTTCGGGCTCCATAAAATGTTGAGAAGTTTTTCAGTAGCTGCAGAACCGGCGGTTTCTCAAGAAGAGCTCAGCTCCATGGAGTTAGTTAACGTAATGACAGTGAGAAATAGAACCGTTACAGAACTTTTTTATCGTACAGTGTGTAGCATATATGGAGGCCTGCGGAAGGATTAGTTTCGAAGACTGGGACTGAACCCGAGCCATCTGTATACGTGGCTACTCCGGTAATTGTTCTGACTGTCATTCTGGAGTTGCTGTGCCCACATAGTGACCGGGAGACCTACCACCGAGAATGAGGCTCTTGATGAATTCCTCGAATCCCTGCATACAAGTGCCGGAGTAGTATCACGACCACTTCAATGCACATTCTCTTGAATGCATTAATTCGGGGCTATTGCCACGCAATCTAACCTACTAACAGCGTTCTGTCTTGTTCTGTAACCTGTGCTTAATGATTGCCTAAACGTCTGACAATGTTCGTTTGTCCGTCAGTGTGACAAAACACCTCCAAAGATGGGAGTAGCACCTCCCGAAACGCCGTGCACATAAAATATACCCCAGAAAAAGAAATGTGCAACATTATACTGGGAAAAACATACGTCAAGCTGATTAAAGCCAAAATAAATTGAACCTGTCAATTAGCGCATGAAATGCCCAGTTGAAAATTGTGACTGGGATAGGTCTAAAAAAATTAATTTTTAAATTCGCTTAGTGGGGGGTGGAGTCCAACTGGGTCTACTCGAAACGGAGGCCATTGATTAGCCTATTGTAGCCTGCCCCGGGTGATTATGATGACGGAGAATTTGGTGGAATGACGATTGGCAGGGGAAACCGAAGTACTCAGAGAAAACTCGCCCCCAGCTCCACTTTGTCCACCACAAATCCCACTTCACCAGACCCGGGATCGAACCCGGGCCACCGCGGTGGGAAGCCAGCGACTAACCGCTTGAGCTATAGCGCGGCCTAGGGATAGGCCTAACTCTGCTTTCATGAGTCTGTACTGTCAGACGGTAGGCCAGGCATCCACATGCGACTTGCAGTAGGCCCTCAGCCTAACCTGTAAAATCTCCGCGAGGAATTGGGCCGACCCACCGTAGCACAACCAACATCACGATCACCTCCACTCCCCTCCCTGTCCTCAGCTCTGGGCCTACTGCGCACAAGTGAGATTCTTGCAGACAGCACATTCCTCCGAAACGTCGGTGACTATCCCGTGTGTGTTGATTCGTTCTCATGATACTTAACTATGGGTTGTAAGGCCGCGTAGTTCGGAAACAGCCAGACGTCTCGGAGGAAGATATAGCCTCCATCTTCAAGGTGGAAGAGTAAGCCAAAGAAGGAAACCAAACAGAAGCAGCTGGCTAGCTCAGCTGGCTTCTTGCTAGGCTTGGAGGCGACGTGTTCCTCCGAAACTTTGGGTTCTGTCCGACTTACACGTCGTTAAACTCCAGACTGTCCGCAACGCGAAACAGAAAGAATGAACCAAGTTTATTAAGCATACGGTATGCATTCAGGCACAAATGCAGTACAATCGCTGTCCTCCACATCATCCTTGTATCTATGGAGCGGCTATAGTGACTGGGCTTCGGGTTGTACCACCGAGGAACCTCGCTTCAATTCCCGGCAGGAGTAAAAATTATCTTCTCCGTAACGTCTGGGGCCCACCCAGCGACCTACACTACGGTACTTGGGGTTAAGCGCAAGGGGCGTGAAACTGACCACTCACCTCTATCTCTTGCTGAGGTTAAGAAGGGTGAAGTTATACCTCCTATTCCTCACAAGCCGTCATGACGAGGCGCTCAATTAAAAGCACAGAGATAACGTCGCCTTTTACCTGTTCACAATACGAACCGTGTGACGTGTCATATCTCAGTGATAGGCCCCACTACACAACATTGTTACAGTCGCCCCTCCATTTTGAAATCGTGAAGTGATATGAAAGGAAAGGTCCCTTCACTGCAATTGTCCTGTGGTCCTGACAATGAATCACATATGTCCAGCCAATAGCGAGACTGTTCCCACGTGGTCATGCTGGTTTTATGATGTGGCAGGTTGGCTGTAAGCCACGCCTTCCCCAGTTGTTACGCTCCACCCAACCTGGGCACCCGAGTCCCCGAGTGACGGGTCGCCATCGCTCCGCCGACCAATGAGATTCATGGCCGAAGTTGAGCTGAAGGTTTGCAGCGGAGCCGAGCTAGGACCGTCAAATGCGAACGGATCTTCGCAGGAATAAGTCGATGTTAGCGTAGTTGGGTTACAACCCTCCCCACCCAGTTGTCACTTTTGGTGTTCTGACAGTTATAGGGTAATAAAAGTTGTCGGTGCGTCGCCAGTGTCTGTGGGCTCCGGTTCAAGCCCCAGTAAAGTACTTTGGCTTTAAATAAATTAAGTAAAGTTCAAGAGCCGTGCAGCTGCGGCAAGTGAACCGACTCGTGTGCGAAATGTTCACTCGTTTGTTACAGAGAGCTGTTGAAATTTAAGGGAAGTATTTCAGTTGAAGCATTAGGGACTATGAATATAGGTAACAAAGTTGTTGCTGTGATATGAAGAAGAGATTGTCCGGTCGTGCAGCCTTGGGACAGTGAACAAGGCAACTGTGTTGGCTTCGCATCGCGCCTCGCTCCAAGAATAGCGCGCGCGGCCCCTCCATGTTGGCCGGTCCTCCTGCTGGCAGCGGGGGCCTGCTGCAACAGATGACGCCCGAGTTACCAAGCAGCGTCGCGATGCATCACTACCAGCAGTCAGCACCGCAGCATTCACCGCCGCCCGGAGCGAGCATGAGTCCACTGTTGCCTAGTTTCGGGTTTACTCAAGAACAGGTGGCTTGTGTGTGCGAAGTGCTGCAGCAATCTGGCAATATCGAGCGGCTGGGACGATTTCTGTGGTCACTTCCGGCCTGTGAGAAACTGCACAAGAACGAGAGTGTTCTCAAAGCAAAGGCTATTGTCGCGTTCCATCGAGGGAACTTCAAGGAACTGTACCGCGTTCTGGAGAGCAACCAGTTCTCTCCTCACAACCACCCCAAGTTACAAGCACTGTGGCTCAAGGCTCACTACGTGGAAGCGGAGAAGTTGCGAGGACGGGCACTGGGGGCAGTGGGCAAATACAGGGTCCGACGGAAGTTCCCGCTGCCGAGAACCATCTGGGACGGAGAGGAGACGAGTTACTGCTTCAAGGAGAAGTCAAGGTCAGTCCTCAGGGACTGGTACACGCACAACCCCTACCCTAGCCCTCGGGAGAAGAGGGAGCTCGCCGAAGCGACGGGCCTCACCACGACGCAGGTGTCCAATTGGTTCAAGAACCGACGTCAGCGCGACAGAGCGGCCGAGCAGAAAGACGGGTGAGTACCCTATTAACGCATTGCAGATTTCTTTCCAACGGATTTATCGTTTTGCATGAGGTCGTTTGGCCCGAAAGTTGAGGTCAGTCGGTAGGCCGAGGGAAGGCAGCCGGTGTACCAAAACAGAGACTGACTGTTTTCGTGATCCCTCCACCTCACCGAAAAACCACCACCACTACTACTTACCAGTATATTCACGGGGCGTGATTGGTTGCGTCGGTGCCTGTTCCCTCTGTGTCATGCCGACACGGATTATGAATTTGTTTCCGTTTATAAGATGGTGAGGTTCAGGACGCCCTAAGGTACCTAAGGGTACCAAGTGTTTAAAGGAGGTTTGGCTAATGCACGTAATATAAAATTGAATAAAGCCACTGCAGAATTTTACGACACGTTAATTCATCCTACAACATGTAACGTTTCCAAGTAAATTGATTTATCTTAATCAGTTCAGACCTGAAATTGTGTTCCAAAGAAGTGTTAATCTACATGCGAGTGCTTGCCAGCAATCATGCAGCTGGACCTCCCGGTTTGCATTCTGTGTTGCCGAGTGTACTGTGCTGTCTGCATAGTACCAGCCTGCCGAGATACAAGAGAGACTGTCATTTTCAGAGTTCTTTAACAGGATGCTGCATTGTGTCTAGGGGCAGATGTGTTTTGTCGGTGTTTGTAGGCCGTAACTTTGCTGACTCGCTAGGCCACTCATTGAGATTCACTTCTTTCAAACGGGATTTACATTGGAACAATCCGCCCAGTGTGTTAACGAGATTCTTACGGCATCTCTAACGCTTAAGAGACGACGAAAGGGGAACCCAGTGTATGGGCCACCCTGTTGCGGGGGTCTTGACCCCCAAGGTTGGGGAAGTCTCGAATCTGAGACAGTAAAATATGGTCATGAATCCCGCGGACTCGAACCTGAGAATGACTGCGCTCTCGAGGACTGGCAGGGTTTGTAAACGACAGACCTATATTCTCGTCAGAGCGCCCCCACATCAGCCAAGCCGCAAGTGTCTAGACAGCACCAAAACTGTGGGCTTGGGCCCTAGATGGGGAAAACTGACCGTCGGTCGTAACGTAACTTTTTATTTTGACTTAAAGACTGAATTTCTTTAAATAGTGATACAGTTCGTACCGTGCAGGAAACACATTGCGTTTCCGTTACAAAGCCTAACCGTTTATTCTGAGAACCATACGGAACACAGATACACTGGGCAGAATGCGGGGTAACCACTGTTTTAAAGCGTTAATACGGCTGCGAAGTGACTTTTTTTTTTAAATTGCAGTAATGATGTTCGAAATAGTGTTAGGAGCCTAATGCCGTTATTTGTTCTTAGAGGAAAGTCATCTTAGAATTTGTAACAAAATTCTTGAACCGTTTACACAGCATGTTCGGTTCTAACGGACGAGCACGGATGTGAGGACAGACAAACTGTTGCCTTAATCATAACTGCTTTTGCGTATGAACTGAATACGCACGCAACCAACAGGAGCACCAGAGTTATCTTAACATCTTTAGGGGTTTAATATTCTAAGCGATTTGTTGTAAGCAGGCCTACTCCTTGTCCACAGGAAATTATGGGGGCTATGGGGCGTTGAATTCATTATGGTGTGATTACAGCTTCATTTCGAGTGCCCATCGCACCAGTGTCTATGGCAAATAGCTACGAAGCACCATTTTGCATTTCCTCACGAACGAGTTTTGGTTTAATTTGAAACGTAGCAAGAAGTTTACTGTCGTCGCCCTGTACAATTTAATACACGACAAGCAAGCCATGACATATATATGTAGTGTATCATAGGCAACGATGTGTATAATTTTCATGACGTCACACATAATATAATGCAATCCAGTTTTACACTGGTTGATGAAAATTTTAAATATACACACAGGCATTATGGGATTTCAGAAATGTATAGTACAGGGAGGATTTTAACTTTGTTGATTGGTTCCACGGCTGTGCGCTTCACGGCGACCGGTGCGCTGCTTGCCGCGAGACGCTTACTCTTGTAGAAAAGCGTACTTACGTAAAACTTACAGAAACGGAGGGTTGTAATGTGGGTTTAGCTGCAGAAAAGGGCCCGGTGATGGGCCGTTGTGAACTCTAAGGAACCTTCATGTTCCGTAATAATAGATTGTCGTCACCACAAGATGAATAAACATCAGTCCCACTCTGTGGAGTTAGTTACTGATAAGGTGGTAACTGATTTCCTATATTCACCACGTTTTCATCATAGTCTGTTGTATTAACTTTGTGTTTTGGGCGATAGCGTGTAGAGTTAGAAGCAACTTTATTTTTGTATTGCTAGCGGGGTGGGACTAAGTCCCTTCTACTGCGGCCACTTCTGACCCATTGTACCAGCCCCAGATGATAGATGAGGGTGATTGTGAAGCAGTTGGTGGAATGAAGATTGGCAGGGGAAACCGAAATACTTGGAGAAAACCTGCCCCAGCGCCACTTTGTCCACCACAAATCCCACTTGACCAGACCCGGGATCGAACCCGGACCGCCGCGGTGGGAAGCCAGCGACTAACTGCTAGAAGTAACTTAGCGAAGGATGAGAATGGTGATCTGCTTGTAGATTCCCACAACATTTTGTATAGGTGGAGGAACTACTTCTCTCAGTTATTGTATGTACATAGGGTCAGTGCTGTTAGGCAGACAGAAATCCATACAGCTGAGCCGTTAGTACCTGATCCTAGCTCTTTTGAGGTTGAAAGTGCTATTGCAAAATTGAAACGGTATAAATCGCCCGGTAATGATCAAATTCCGGTAGAACTTACTCAAGCAGAAGGTTGAATATTACGTTCTAAGATCCATAAGCTAATTACTTATATTTGGCATAAGGAAAAAGTGCCTGATCAGTGGAAGGAGTCTGTTGTACCAGTTCACAAGAAGGGTGATAAAACTGACTGTAGTAATTATTGGAGGATATCTATGCAGAGGCTGTAAATCTGCCTAGCCATATACCATAAAGAGAGAAACAACAAGCTTAAAATTGATGCTAGCAAGGAGGTTGGTTTAGAAGTAAACACAGAGAAAACCAAGTATATGTTGCGTCTCGTTACAAAAATGCAGGGCAAAATCATTACATAAAAATAGCTAACAGAAGTTTTGAAATTCTGGCACAGTTACGATATTTGGGAACGACGATAACAAATCAAAACCTAATTCAGGAGGAAAGGGTTATGCTTGCTACCATTCAGCCCAGAACTTTTTGTCTTCTCGTGTGTTGTCTTAAAAAACATAAAAATTAGAATATACAAAACTAATTTTGCTTGTGGTTCTGTATGGGTGTGGAACTTGGTCTCTGACAGTAAGGGAGGAACATAGACTGAGGGTGTTTGAGAATAGGGTGTTGAGAATATTTGGACCGAAGAGGGATGAAGAGATAGGAGGTTGGACAAAACTGTATAATGAGGAGCTTCCTAACTTGTACCCTACTCCAAGTATAATTAGAATGATTAAGTCAATGATGAGATGGACAGGGCATGTAGCATAAATGGGGTCGAAGAGCAATGCATATAGGATAAGAGACCACTGGAAAGATCAAGACTTAGGTAGGTGGACAATATTAAAATGGATCTTAGAGGTATGGGATGGAATGGTATGGATTGGATTGATGTGGCTCAGGATAGGGACCAGTGAAGGGCTCTTCTGAACACTAATGAACCTTCAGATTCCATGCAATGATGGGAAGTTCTTGAGTAGCTGCAAAATTTTCAGTTTCTCATGAAGGGATCAGCTCCATGAGTGATATATATAATTTTCTTAGGAGAAAGAAATTTTGCAGCCTACGGTAACGTGTAACCCATAATCTGCGGTCTACCAGGACATATACGGCGAACATATTACCGTAGGCTGCCAGATCTCTTAATTATGTGGGTTGGGTTATGTTAGGTTAGCGAAGCGAAGCGAAAACATCACCGTGGGCTGCTAGATTTAGGTCTTATAATAAAATTAAATATATATTTGTATATAAATAAATAAATAAATATAAAGCACCATTGTCCATTGTTCTGAGAGACCGCACGCTAAAGTAGCACCACTCCAATTGTGTTTCTTTAATCTCAGACGCAAAAGACGGGCCAGTTAATACAGTAAGGGTCNTTACCCTACTCCAAGTATAATTAGAATGATTAAGTCAATGATGAGATGGACAGGGCATGTAGCATAAATGGGGTCGAAGAGCAATGCATATAGGATAAGAGACCACTGGAAAGATCAAGACTTAGGTAGGTGGACAATATTAAAATGGATCTTAGAGGTATGGGATGGAATGGTATGGATTGGATTGATGTGGCTCAGGATAGGGACCAGTGAAGGGCTCTTCTGAACACTAATGAACCTTCAGATTCCATGCAATGATGGGAAGTTCTTGAGTAGCTGCAAAATTTTCAGTTTCTCATGAAGGGATCAGCTCCATGAGTGATATATATAATTTTCTTAGGAGAAAGAAATTTTGCAGCCTACGGTAACGTGTAACCCATAATCTGCGGTCTACCAGGACATATACGGCGAACATATTACCGTAGGCTGCCAGATCTCTTAATTATGTGGGTTGGGTTATGTTAGGTTAGCGAAGCGAAGCGAAAACATCACCGTGGGCTGCTAGATTTAGGTCTTATAATAAAATTAAATATATATTTGTATATAAATAAATAAATAAATATAAAGCACCATTGTCCATTGTTCTGAGAGACCGCACGCTAAAGTAGCACCACTCCAATTGTGTTTCTTTAATCTCAGACGCAAAAGACGGGCCAGTTAATACAGTAAGGGTCTAGTGTGGTCTCCGCTGATGATACGGGACAGTTTAATTTTTTTTTTTAACTTGTGTATTTATTAACGACGCTAATGTTAATGTATTGTACAAGCAGATGTGCCGTTTACAGAACCAATCGCCGGTAGGTACGTATATTTCACTGCAAACAGCCATAAATCATGCGTTGGGCAAACTTTGCCCACTGGAGCCTCCTTATGCTGANGGATTGGATTGATGTG